AGTTGATTACAGAAGGTAAGTGGTCGCCAGAGACATTTTCCAGTTTCAGCAGTCTATGTCTTTTGATTAATTTTTCTGTCTGTGGCGTTGTCTTCTTTGCACGTAACATACGGTAATAACATTTAACTGTAGGAAGAAACAGAAGATGGAAAGGAGACTGAACGAGAACGACCCCTTGCCCCCGCTGAACCTCTGTATTTCTGAGGCACTGTGCTTCATTGATGTTACGGCTGACTTAGTGGATTGCCGAGGAGAAGAGACTGGAGTCTATAACAATCCTGTGAAGTGTTAAACAGAGCAGCATGTGGAGGTTCCTGTAAACAAGATGTTTTGCGTACATTTGGTCCAGGTTAGGAGCACATGGGTAGTTCCCTCCCAGCCTTTTTTTTTTTGTGCCTTTCAAGTAAACGGTTGCAGCCCTGATTTGTGCGCACATCTGGTCGGATATGCAGAACAATACTTGTGTCTGCTTCTCGCCAAGTGGATTCAATTGTAGCATGTTTTATGTTTTGCATATCACAGTTTTGCTTGGGTTTCTCTCATCTTTGAGCATCTGATATGGCCTGTTTTCCCCGTCTGTGGGTCTAGACGTGCTGTGCCATGTGAAACGCATAAACAGTTGACTTAGTGTAGCTAGAAACATAATTTTCTAGTTTATTTGTGACACTGAGTTATCATTAAGTAGTTGAACTATTATATAAACGCCAAATTCATGGCATAAAAAATGGTGTACTGTAACTGCATTTGACATGCACATTAGTCATATGAAATTCAAGGGTAAACCGTAATATGTGCCTCATTTTTCTTATTTTCCACAACTTGAATAAAAGGCAACATCCAAACAATGTGCTATTTAAGAATTAGTACCATTTAGTGACTTGGAATGCAGGTCCTGGTGTATTAGGGCCTGCATGAATACTCATTTTTACTAGTCGACAAATACAAATATTATTTATCTTATATAAATTATACACTGTGCAGCTTTAGCATGGTGGGCAACTAGAGAAGAGTGTGTCCTGTGTAATGGAAGCTTGCGTATTCCCATTGATGCTTGCTTTGTCATAAATGGTACAGAACATATGTCTTACTCTGGGCAGCATTTAGTTAGCTTCAGGGTCTCTGAGCAGTTTGCAACAGTTCTGGCTTGCATGTCATCTTAAAAGTCCTCTGTGTAGTTTGCTTACATGCTATATTGGGAGCGCAAAGCACTCCAGTTTCACTTTTTCACTTCTTGTAATTCCAAATATATTGGACCTTTACACTCAGAACACACAAATATACCAGCACACCTTATCTCCTTTCAGCATATAGAACAATTGCAACTGAATATACAGTATGTGATCTGTGACTAGTTGACTCAGGCTAGTGGTAGAACCACTTGACGAGTCACTACTGTTGTATACTACTGTATATGAGTCTGTCTGAAGAGAGAGTCCAGTGTTCCTCACTGATGGCAACCTGAATCCGTTTCAAATGGCGTTTATGATCGCAAGAAGGAAAAGATACTCAAATACAGTCAATATCTAAATGACATAATGAAAGTAAATGTCTTAATCATGCTTGAGAGGATGGACTTTCACTAAAAGTGCAGTATTTCCAAAATATTGTAATGTATAATTGTGCCAATCTTGTCTAATTTGTTGTTTCTTCTTCTAAGACTTTTTTTTTTTTTTACTTCAATGGCATAAACGTGCTGACTTTCACTTTTTTAAAATTCTTTTTTTCTGAAAATGATTGAGAATACTGTTGCAAATAGGACCGGAAACCAGAGCGAAAGTGCTGTCTCTTAGGATAAAAGTTGTATTGTGAGGGGACAGATGCTACACTCCCATAAAGACCTGGGAAGCCATTTGTGTTTCACATGGCTGCAGTAAGCCCTCTCTCACCCGGCCCAGTCTGATGTTAATTAGTTCATAAATTAAGGACATTGACTTTTTTTAAGAGCCAAATGAATGGGAAGAAGGAATGGAAAGATGGTGAATTAAGCGCACTAGAAAACAGGCGAAAAATAAACAAAAGAAAAAACAAAAAAGCAAACTTCAAAGGGAGATCTAATTCGTCAGGCGTTTGAAGTGAAAACACTGAGGCTGGTTCCACTCGCCACATGGATTAATGGTCGACTGAACAGCCAGAGCACCACACGCTCTTCTCCCGCTCACTCGCTCTATTATTATCAGCGCTTGGAGAACGGGGGCTTTTCTTTAATGTGATCTAAGAATAATTTTGAGTTTCCCTTGTTGTGGGTAAGATTACGGTCAGTTTTTCTTACAGCAGTTAGTTCGATTCTGTTTGTACATTTATTGAGGTTTGTTGGGTCAGTTTTTCTGAGCTGAGTTCAAAAGAAAAAAAAATGAAAGCTTCTCGAAGCTGCATAGACTAAATCTGAAGCTGAAGTGTGTCATTTTAAAATGTTAAATTATTTTCCTAACCCAGCTTAATATGCAGACACAAATATAGACTATAAAAAAGCAATTCATAGGCTGATTAACTCCCTATCTATCAAAACATTGGGTCTAACAAAAATTGGCTTAGTTTGGGGTGAACTACAGCAGACACTAGTGTTAGAGTTGGATTGGGTGGTCATTTTTCAGACTTAATTGTTGTCTTAAAGTCTGAACTCTCCCTCCTCCACTTGTAAGCATTCACTTTATGGTGTTTGAATCACAGTACATTTGTCAAATGATTTAATAATCATCTGAAACATCTTTGGTTTCAATTGTATGCACCAAAGTTCAGACAATAGCTTTAGTTAATTGCAGCACAACAGCCAAGGCTCTTGTGGGACATTAGGACACAGAGAACATATTAGATGTTATCACAAGTTCATAACTATCAAGCTGAGACAATCATTGGGTTGGTGATACCTGTGCTATGACCTCATTGCCACAAGATCTAATCTGTATGGATAATCTCCCTTAATTTAATATTGATTTGTAGAGACTTTATGTCTGCACATTTCTGTTTATTTTTCAGATAAGATGCCTTGACATTCCCTCTAATAGTTATGGCTTCAAAGCCCCATTTTCTAGGCAAACAGACACCCCAATGCTTTGGCACCAATATCCTCATCCTGATTGACTATTTTGAACATTCCGGAAGTTTCTTTTTCAAAGTACTGCTGCTGTCCACATGGACGTTTATAGCTAACTGTTGCAAAAAATGATTGTCCGGACCTTCGCTGGGATAGAAAATACATAGACTAGACCTTTGGAAACTTATATTGAACACCCCTGATTTAATATATAACCAGCATTCGTTCTTCTGCAATGCAAAATGTGGATAGGTATCAATATACCTCACAATAGTCACAAAATAGTTGTGTATTTGCCCTCGACACAAGCTTTAAAAGTGGCCTGCTTTTGACTGAAAACGCTAGATTTAGCAAAGTGTATTGATAATGATTTCTGGACTGAGATTTAAGAGTTAAAGGATTTAATATATATTGGTATTAATCAAAATATGACACATTATTTGGATGATCTGATTTATGGTGCGTTCACAATTGGCATGTTTGATTTGATTAAAACGAACCCATGGTGCGATTATTATGTTAGTGCAGTTCATTTGAATAAGTGTGAACGCTGCCATCTGAACCCTGGTGCACACCAAACAAGCGGACTGATACCGCTGAAAAGATGGGTCTCGGTTCACTTCCAAACGAACTCTGGTGCGGTTCGAATGATATATGAACGCAACACGGACCAAAGACATGTAAATGAACCAAAAACAGGACATGATGTCACAAGATGTGACCCTAAAAAGGACAGAATGCTCAAGCATACCTGTTTTTTTTCCGTCATATTTGCAATGTTGCCCATCACTGTTCGGTACAGGCATCCGAACCGCGTCTCCTCGCAGCAGATCTTCATTTGTGTGTGTGACGGAGGGATTCCTGCTGCTGTTTTGACTCCTCCTCACATTTTATAAGCTTTTCACGAGTTTTCAGCTGGCCAAAACACCATTATATGCACATACAACGAGTGCATTTAGCCTGGTACACAGCATTGTTTTGGATGTTCGGTAAGTTCCGTCACGAAATATACTTAATAAAATGCGACCAATCAGGTTGTGAACATATCATTATGCCTTTAGGTTCGAAATTAAAAATTCCTATGTGAACGCTAAGCGGACCAGGACTTAATGGGGTTTTTTTTTGGTCCGAACCGAACTACAAATGTGAACACACCCTTAATGAAGTGGTGAAAAAGTTTGAGAACCATATTAGAGGAAGATCATTTCGAATCTGGCTTTGTGTTGCTTCTTGCTTTTAAATCAAATTATTAAATTTGCAAATTATGTTTGTAAATTTGTTTGGATATAAAATGTCAACATTCTGTCAAATAGTGGCTTGTTTTGTGCCACTGCCAAGACATATTTTACTTAAAGCAGAAACATATCAAAATGTTATTCAGATGGAAGCGACGTAGACCGTCTCCGCAGCGGGACTCTTGATATATTGCTGAAAGGGGGTCAGCTTAGCGCTTCCTTAAAATATGTGCCCATTCCAGACCTACTTTGTCTTGTCTCTGCTCCTCTTTATTCTGTTCGAAACCCTTGATGTCAGCTGGCACTGCCTCACAGAGTTTGCCAGGCTTTGGATCTCGGCAGGGGTCTATCGCCGCACCCCTCCCAATAACAGGCAGCATGTGAAGATTGTCACCCTGCTTTATAATTGGGGTTTCAGATCTTCAGAGCTTGGGACCCCTTCATAGCCCATCAGCACCTGGCTCCTTAACTTTCAAAGGCAGTGGAGACCTCCAAACCCTCAGGTGGTGAAATACTTTAAAGTTCGAGCCCCACCTATCCACGATTCGTAGGGCTGCGTAAAGCTAGATAGTCTTTGTGTGAAGATAAAAACTAGAAAACTACATGCAAATGTCAAAACAAAATGCCTCAATCATTTGCATATACTGTACAACAACAAGGAATTTCTAGTTGATTAACAAGTACTTTATTTGAATGACATACCTTTCTTGGCATGTTCATCTTCATACATGCAGGTGAGACAGAACTCCCTCCGATCCTACATTGGTGTAGTTCCTCAGGACACCGTCCTTTTCAACGACAACATCCGTGAAAACATTCGCTACGGACGCATCTCTGCAAGTGACCAGGAAGTGGAAGAGGCTGCAGTGGCTGCTGATATCCACCATAAGATATTATCCCTTCCAGACGGTAGAGGACTGCTACATTTTCATAGCTAGATTTAGTCATTTATTTTGTCTGTTCACAGAATAGCAGCATTACATTGGAAATTGCTCAAGTTTTATGATGCAGCCAAAGCATAGGTACATCCCTGGAATGCATACACTGCCATTCAAAAGTTTGGGGTCAGTAAGACTTTTTAAAGCTTTTGATGATTTGGTGCTCAAGAAACATTTCTTGTTATTATCAATGTTGAAAACCAGCTTAATTTTTTTTATTTATTTTTTTTGGAAACTGATATATATTTATTTTTTTATCCGGGATTCCTAAAAGAATTTATGTTCAGCACAGCAAGAACAGAATTTATTTGAATTCGAAATCTTTTATAACACTATGCATGTCTTTTACTGTCACTTTTGATCAATTTTATCCATCCTTTGCTGAATTTTTATTCATCTTTCTGACCCCAAACATTTGAACGGTAGTGTACATAAATGATTGCAGTTTTGGAAGATTAAATCATAACAGTATTGTAATAACATGAGGGTGTGTAAATGATTACAAAATGTTCATTTTTTCCCTGAACAATCCTTTGGTTATTATTGATAGGATATGCTACTGAAGTCGGTGAAAGGGGTCTGAAGTTGAGTGGTGGAGAGAAACAGAGAGTGGCCATCGCTCGCACAATCCTGAAATCCCCTCGCATCATTTTGCTTGATGAAGTGAGTAAAGGCTCTCTTGAAGGTTGACAATTTTTGATGTGGGTATGTACTTAATCCTGCTTCGCATATTTTACTTTCAGGCCACATCTGCTTTAGACAGTCAAACGGAGCGTAACATTCAGGCTTCTCTTGCTAAGGTGTGTGCCAACCATACCACTCTCGTCGTGGCACACAGGTAGGTCTAATTCTTGCTAATGCAACTCAAACTGATGGTCAGTATTGGAGAAATTACTTTAAAACTGTAGCTTCACAATCTACAAGCCTCTTATAACCTAAAGTTATTAAATTACTGTTAAAACCATACTTTCTGTACATTTCTTTAATATAATATTTTTACAAATAAAGGTGTAAAATGCCACAGGGGCGACTTCTAGGGACTTGTTACATTCTTCTCAACGCAGTTAAGTTACTTTGTTAGTTTTGGTTACCGGTAGTTAAGGCCTGTTCACACCATGGATGATAACTATAATGATAATAATAAATAAATAGTTCTAAAAATCATTCTAAATATAAAAGAATGGCAGAGTCCACACCACAACTATAACGATAGCGGCACAGAAACTATATAATTGATATATAAAAAACGATTTTTTTTCCTGTTGAGCGATTAAAAACATTGACAGCCAATCAGAATCCATCCTGCTTTTAGAGCTCAAGCATTTAAAGTAGCAGGCGACAAAACTGCTGTGCGGCCTTAGAATAAAAAATATGTATCGTCCGCTGATGTGGATGCTAATATAGTTATCGTTATAGTTATTTTAATGGTTTATGTTTGGTTTGCTTTATAGTTATTTGTTCATCTTTACTCCCAGCGCTCATCAGAAATACGACATAAGGTGCGGTCAAATTTACCGTTGTTCAGTGAATTTTTATTTAATCTCAATAAGAATCCACGTGATCAGGAATTTGCATGAGGGCGAAAAAGTTTCGCAAAAGGTTCAAGATGGTCACACGGACACGTTGACCAACAGAAGCTTTGAAAGTGCTTTGCTACATATACATCACCACACTATTGACAATGGAAAATTTGTCTGTGAAATTACACTGACATTTCACTAATGTGACCTCATCTGTCCTGATGCTCCACTATGTCCAGGCCCTGAAATATATTGTCTACTGCTCTGAATTCAAGGCTTTATCCCTCAGATAACATCATGTATTGATAAAAGCTTTTGTTGGGCCATCTGGGCCACATCTCTAGCATTAATTAAATTGATCTATTTGTCCTTAAACCCAGTGTCTTCAGAATAACACCCTAGCCCAAAGAAATGAAAGGTGTATGAAGGATAATCCAAACAATGGCAAGCAGCTGTCTCCCAAATGAGATAAAGCTGTTCATGACATACAAGCTGAGCTCATAGTTCACACCTTTGTGTTTGTGGTGTGGTCCATTTAAATGTGTTTTTAATATCTGCAAGCTTAAAAGAGAGGGTATATTGGATTTTTTTCCCTTGATTTTATGAAACATTTAACAGTACAGTTACTCTACAGCAGTTCTCAGTTTTTTCCCACGACTTTGAAACTCAAAATATTTTGTGCACATTAACTTTTTTTATGAAATGAAAGCAGCTTAATTGAAAAATATTAGATAAATTTCAGCACCTGCGCTGTACATCAGTGTGACTGCTTGTTGATTTTAGACATACTGAAGAAGTTCTGCTGAGTCTTGTCAATGTAAATATATGCGCTTATCCAATTTTTCACTCAGCTGGTAGTCATATAAAGCCACACATAGCCGGCAACATTTAAAACATCTGTTCAGAGCAGTGAATGGTTGACAGGTGAGCTGCGTTCCTTCACTGTCAATTAGTGTTTGCACTACAGATGTGATTGTATGACCATCTTCAGATATGGTTTCAGTGATCTGACCACAAAATCTCTTTACACTTGTATTTAGTGCTGTCATCCATCAAGATGGATGTTAGGGAGTTCAATTCACTTGACAAAATGTGTTTATTTGGAATGTCCTGCAACACTTTTATATTAATGGATATCAAGTTATGAGTTATGACATAATGTACGTCTTCCAATACAATACCGTTCAAACGGTTGGGGTCAGTAAGATTTAAAATTATTTAGCAAGGGCACAATAAATTGATCAAAAGTGACAGCAAAGACATGTATCATTTTACAAAGAATCCTGAAAAAAAACAGTTTTCACAAAAAATATTAAGCAGCACACCTGTTTTCAACATTGAAAATAATAGAATAAAAAGATTTCTTCAGCAGCAAATCAGCATATTAGAATGATTTCTGAAGGATCATGTGACACTGAAGTAATGATGCTGAAAATTCAGTTTTGCCATCACAGGAATAAATAACATTTTAAAATATTACAATTGAAAATAACCGTTTTCCAATTGAATATGTTTCACAATATTACTCTTTTTACTGTATTTTTACTTTGATCAAATAGAGGCAGCCTTGAGCATACAAGACTTCATTCAAAAACATTTTTTAAAAATCTTACTGACCCAATGTAATATAAATTAGCATATGTTCATTTAATAAACGCATGTATGCATTGCATCTGCATGTATTTATAGAAATATACATGTATTATTCATTTAATATAAGTCGTCATATTTGAGAGCACTAAAGCTGTCTTATTTTGTGCATGCAATCTTTGTCAATGCGTGCGTATACTCTCATTTGTATTTGCATTTTTGTTTGTTGTCTAATTCATTCAATTGTACATCCACCTGTAGTTTCTTCTCCTCCTCTCGAATTCTACAGTGATTCAGTGCTAATTACTCAAACTAAAATTGGACACCTTGCAATTTATCCACATTTAAAACATTTATGCCTTTGTTTTTTTTTTAGAGGCGTTGTTAGTCATGAAATGCACCACAATACAAATATGTACCAAACTATTTTTTTCCCAGGAATTGTTTCACCTCTAGTCCACAGATAGTGTCTGCTATGTCCTCAACAGAAAACATGTGTGCGCCTGATAGTTATTAGTGTGGAATTATTTTGTATAGCTGTTTTATGAGAAGAGCTAACACGTTTGACATTGATTCAAACACCTCGCTCGCTTCCTCTCTGCTGGTCACCTTTTTTTTTTCTTGTCTTTCTGTGACACATTCCACCACTCTCGTACTCCTGCCGTCACTTTCGGAAAGTGTCTCTGCCCATCCGGCGTCTCTGTTTCCTTCTCTCTAATGTTTTTCCCTCTGTCTCTCATTGCTCTACTCTTTAGAAAATTGTAAACACATCAGGATCAGAGTCTGCAAGCTTTGATCCTGTCCAGCCTCTGAGACAGTGGTGTCACTTTGATCTGTTTTGGGGTGGTGGTTCTGGGGTTAGCTATCAATAAAGAAGTCTCCGCTCCTTTGTTTGAAGATGAAGGGCAGCTGAGAGGGTGACCTGCAGAAGGTTTAGGGTGTGAATTAAAGAAGCCGTGTGTGTGGATTAGATTAAGGGGGATCTAGTGCTTAAAGACGCTGCCGCTGCTTTAAATTAGGGAGTGCGTTTACAGTACAACGGCGGCTGAATCGCTCTGATTTCTGAACAGGATGCAAACAAGGATTAAGTTTTGATGTGATGCACAAATAAAAACAGGCTTTAATGGCAGAGTAAGTGATCTGTTTCCTGCCTGTGCCTTTTAAAGTTGAAGTCTAATGTTTTTAAAAGTTACTTCTTCCTATATCTTACTAAAGTACTTTCAATGTTTAAATACTTTCTCCATTCTAACTTTATATGCTGACAACCACTAGTAAGCTATTTTTAGATTGTAAACATTGTGGCTCTGTGGAGCTATCAAAGCATTGCTCTGTTTTCTTTGAGCATTCTGACCAGATTGACACAGCAACACTGACTCTACCAATGATGTGAGTTGACTGTCCATTTGTTCCAAAAAATGGAAAGGCACATCCACCAAATCAATATCAAAATCTAGCAGGCATCTGCATCTAGGCCAAAAAGTTGCACTTGAACACACCGCCAAGACTATAGTCAGTGGTCAACTAGCACACGTTCTGAGCCAGCATGTTAGGATGTAACTCTCCATACCAGCAGGTGGCAGTAAAAAAAAAAAAAAGTAAATTCAAAAGGAGTAATGGAAGAGTTAGAACTGCAGCTATACACAGAATAAACAAAGCAACGCTTGCTTGCCAGTGGGCCTGTCCCAATACCCACGATTACAGACTCGGGCACTTGAAAGCACATGCACGTGACAGGAAATTAGCATTCAATGACGCAAAACTCCTGTCTGATAAATGCTTAAGCTCAGTGCCCTAAACGCACACTAAATCTACGTGTTTAATGCCGCATTAAAGCAGTGTTTGAAGCTTAGCATATACCATTATTCATCATGTTCAGGAACTCTTGTGCCCTGTAATTGTAAGATGTCCAGTAAAACTTTCAAGTGTATGTTAAATTTAATTAGATGTTACATATAATTTGGTTATATGTAAAGTTTTATTGGTACAGATATGAGTGTGTATTTTGCTAAATGTTTGCAACTGCCTTTTATCGCTTAATTAGAAGCACCACAATTAAATTGTCGTCTGTTTCGTAGGGACTACTGAACATACATTTAGAAGTTTATTTTAAAGTGCTAAGTATTAAAAGTCAAATTTTGTAAATAAACGTTACTTGCATTTTTACAACACTATAAGTGTGGCCCATCGGGTAATCAGAAGTTTTACACACTTGTGGGCTTCACAACCACTTAAACACTAGGGCCAAAGAACAAAAATATTTTATGTACAGGGTTTGGACAATGAAACTGAAACACTGGCCATATAGTGTTGGAGGTTTCACACCTATATATGCGCGACCTGGTGGCCAATCTTCACTGATTTTATATTCTATCAGAGCAGAGTGTTAAGGTTGAATTAGCAGAGCAATAACACAGCTGTGCGTAAAATATTGCAATCAACATAACATAATGGAAGACATTTCAGAGTTCAAAAGAGGACAAATTGCATCTCAATCTCACTGTGATTAGGACAGCTCATCTTTGCGGTGTATTGAGAGCTATGGTATACAGGGTAATGTCGGCATACCACCACGCAGGACAAACCACATCCAACCAAGAGAAATCTGTCTGATAGGGATGTCCTGGTACTAGCCTTGATTGTATCCAAAAAAACATAAAACCACAGCTGCCCAACTCACTGCAGAATTCCCACCAAAACTGTTCGTCCGGAGCTCCACAGAGTCAATATATCCATAATCTGGCTGCTATAGCCATACCTTTGGTCACTCGTGCCAATGCCAAACGTCAGTTTAGTCGGTGCCAACAGTGCAAATCTTGGGTTGTGGACAATGTGAAACATGCATTGCCCAGAGTGAAGCATAGGGGTGGATCAGTGATGGTTTGGGCTGCAATATTATGACATTCCCTAATGTGCTTGTTGCGTGCGTCACTGCCAAGGACTACCAAACCATTCAGGAGGACCATGTGCACCTAATGGTTCAAACATTGGACCCTGAAGGGGGTGCCATGTAACAGCATGATAATGAACCAATACACACATCAAGACTTTTTGATGAACATGAAAGCGAAGTTGAACATCTCCCATGGCCTGCACAGTCACCAGATCTAAATATTTTGAGCCACTTTGGGGTATTTTGGAGGAGCAAGTCCTCAAAAAACAAAAAATGTTTTCCTCCTCCAGCATCTGGCCAGGGACCAGGCCACTGTTCAATGGCTCAAATTCCCTCTGGCCACTGTCAAGAACTTGTATCTGTCATTCCCAAGACGAGTTCATGTTGTATTGGCCACAAAAATAGGCTCGACACCATACTGATAAATTATTGTGATCTAAAACCAAATGTTTCAGTTTCATTGTCCAATCCCTGTTAGTAGATAAGTGGTCAAAGTGCTGAAAGTGTGAGTATTAGGACAGGCCCTTTTTCACACCAATCTTGCTCACCATTTGCTTTCGTCACTTCTGTTTTTCTTCTCATGCACTAGTTTGCTAAGCTGAACGGCCAATCAGAGTGAACTCTCACTGACCAATTCAGCATGCTCATTTGGCCAAAAAAAAAAACACAAACAGAGTGCCAGTTAGTGCCAGTGGTGCAGAACACACCACAGAACGAGTCTGACAATGGCAACGTGTCATTGGCCTTCTGTTGGCTTGGCGTGTCATGGCCTGAAGATCGTTTTCAGGAAACCTGGATGAATTTTTTTATTTTTTTTGCTATTCCTTTTGGGGATGTTAGTTCACCATTTGACTCGTTGCTATCAACTATTAGCTCAATATTTTGTTTGCAAAATGACATATTAATTAGGAATGTACTAATATTAACATTCTGTTTGATACCAATAAGCTAAAATGTATTTTCAGATATAGGCTAATAACCGATAATCAGTCAATATTTAATTTCTATCATTTTTTTGTAAATATATAAAAAATAAAACATTTTTTAAATGCTAACAGTGAATTTAGAAATCACAACATTATGATGTACAGTATGGAAAAGTATGGAGGTTTGCAAAATAATACATTTAACTGTTATTAGATTTGGTGTTTTTAAGATTAACTTTGAATGTTAGATTGATTTAGTTTTCTTTATTTAATCCAGTAACATTAATTTGTATTTTCAGATTATCCACCATCATCAGCTCCGATCAGATCCTCGTCCTTCAAGACGGGCGGATAGCAGAACGAGGAAGGTCAGTAGAGTGTGTATGTGTGCATTTGTCCTTCTGAGAGTCAAACCTACTGTAAAGATTCAAACGACACACCCTGCTTGGCCTCTGAATGGCCAGATCCCAGGCGGTATAAAAGAGGAAATGTGACACCCTCTCTGTCCTGATTGAGTAAAATTCCTTTGGTTCAGTGGAGAGTGAACCATAGAAGACGTGTTGGGACAGACAGGGTCTTCTTCATCCTTGGGAAACCTAAGATCTGTGTGTGAGTGTGTCCCAGAGGCGCTGTTCTTGTTATCAGTCAATCTGTAGTCTTAACCTGAGGGCCGTCTGAGTGTATCCTCATCTTCCCAGAGACAGGATATAGTCTCTCAGTGTCCGAGCGGGTCCACGCCCTGCCCGATCGCTGTGTCCTGTCTCGCTGCAGGCCCTCAGGTGGTACACGCACACATAGAGAGTTCTTCCTTTTAAACCTGACGCACACACACAGAGCATCCCACTAATGGACTTCTCCATTCATCCTGGCCGTTCAGCCCCGATGTTAACCCTGTGCTCACTGTCCTTCACTTCTGCCCTTTGATATATGAGCTACAGCCAACAGAGCGGCCTCAAGACACACACAGCCGTCAGGGATGTAACTCCACACCTCGCACATTCAGCCCTGACTGACACTGCGATGTAAACATGACCCACGCAGGCTTTTAACCCACAGGACCAGCGTATCGGAATACACACGTTCACAGGGACGGAGCGAGGTGGGAATGTCCATTCAGGGAGGTGAAGGGTTAATGCTTTTAGAATAGAGGAATTAATAGATACACCTTGTGCTGCCCCTTAACAGGCTGCTTCCTGAAAAGAGACGTCTGTGGTCTGGGAAATCTCTGGGAAAAGGTTTGACAAGGATGGTGGATGTTGGGTTCACATGGTCATTGAAAAGCTGGAAGTGTCAGGGAATTTTTAGAGGGATTTTTTTTTCAGGCCTGGAAAAGTCATTTACATTTTTTTAATGACTAATTCTAGTTACATTATGCTCCGAAAATAAATATTCAGACATGTATTATATTATATGTTATGTTTTTAAGTGCAATATATTGGTAAAACAAAATTACCAAAAGGTGTGGGGATCCAGGAGAATAAGAATTGGCCATGTTTTACAGGGAATAATCTGCTTTTGCGGCTGTTACAGAATGCTTCCTGGTATCTGTTTAAAACTTCTGGTGTGACCTTCCATTATGATGAGAACATATTCCACACTCTAATTCCCAGAGTTCAGTGCCCCATATTGTGTCTGCTTCACTTTTGATGTCATACTTCCAAGTAATTGATGCCTCAACAAACTTGACCCTGGACCGACCCTCCTAACTCTCTGTTTTAGCAATCAAAGAAAAGAAAGAGAATGGAGATGGTCCTGAGAGTTTCCTTGCCCTTAAGTGATTTCTGGAGCCAGAGGAAAGCTTTCATTTGGCTTCCCCGGCCCCCTGTGAAGTTAAACTGCTCTAAAGTCCTTTTTAGACGAGCCAGTCCACTTTGGCAGCCATCTTTACAATGCCCTGGGCTGCTGTTTTCTGTCTAGTTTACAGTCAAGCAAATCTCCTATTTTAATTGGCAATGTCAGAAATATCAAAAACTGTTGGCAGTTTAACTCCCTTTCTTTTTTTATAAAAACTGAAAGGTGTAGCTTTCAAGGCGTAGGACCAATTGCCATTCTACCGACTAACACTGACCAACACTTTCACGAGTTCACACTTACATACAATTAAAGGGAATAAAGTATAATGCGTATTTGGCGTGCTGTCCGGGGGGAGGGCTCCGAGCTCGGAATTCGGCCCGAACCCAGAGTACTCCCCCCGTATGTAAGTGGTTTAGGACTAGAAGAGTGGAGAAGGGGTGGTGGAGGGACGCTGCTAAACTGTCAGAGAAATGAAGTGAGACTGCTGAGTCTATATGTTCACGTTTTAATCATGATTGCTGAGTGCTCTCCACCCGTGTTAATTATCTGAACGTGCTTCTCCCGAACTTTGTTAATGAAAAATTTTAATCATGATTGCTGAGTGCTCTCCACCCGTGTTAATTATCTGAACGTGCTTCTCCCGAACTTTGTTAATAAAACATCATTTCGAGACATTCCACGACCTGACAAATGCAGATTCTACATGTTCAATTGGCGAAAACCTACATCAACAGACACACTGATCCAGCAAAACCCAATGAAATGTCTGTTGCCGCTAGTCGACGTCTGTCGGTGCAGTGTGTTTTGGACTCTACAGCCACCATATTTAATGTTGCAATTCCTCTTGTGGTCTTTCTGCTAATGTCTCTGACTGCTCTCTGTCTGTAGGCATGAGGAGCTGCTGGCCATGGGGGGACTGTACGCAGCTATGTGGTTAAAACAGCAGCAAACCCCAGAGTCAGAGGTCTCCACAGACGAACAACCGCAGGAGCCATAGCAGAGCAACTGAAGCTGATGGAGCAGCGATGATGAATGATGATGGGTGAAATCAATCAGGAAAAATGGTAAAAGAGCCCACTGAGCTCTAAACTTCATCTCAGACAGAGGGGCACCAGACTGCACAGAAGTAATGAACTACGAAGAGTGTTTCTCAGGGAACAATTACATAGGTCTGCTTAAAGATCAACCAATCATCGAGTACCTCTAGATATGTTAAAGGGATAGTTCACCCAAAAAGAAATGTCTGTCGTCATTTACTCACCCTCATGTCATTCCAATCTGTATGACTTCTGTGGAAAATGAAGACAATATTTTGAAGAATGATGGTAACTAGACCGTTTGGTCCTTATTGACTTTCATTGTATGGAGAGAAAAAAAGACATTTCTCAAAATATCTCCTTTTATTTCCCACAGAAGAAAGTCATAGAGGTAAATGATAATAATATATTTTTTTTTTTTTGGTGTAGTATCCCTTTAATGTTTAGGAAACAGCAGTAGTATAAAAATACTGTCATGTGGTGACTATATTCAGTCATTTCTGTTACATTGTGTTTTTATATCACTTACTTTGTTTACACTCTTATTCATCACAGTAGACTGGAATGGAAGTATCTCTATTTTTATGAATATAGGAATTTCTAAATTTGGGAATTGTAGGTAACATGCTCAGGGTCAAAAACTTTCACCAAAGTGTGGATGCTTTACCAAACCAAATAAACAATGTATTCCTCTTTACACTTGATAAAGTCCAAAGATCTATCATATCTCTGTTGTTCACATTTATAGTTTAAGATTTAATTTTTATATCTTAAATTTTTTATGGAAAATACTCATCTACTGTACATTAAACCAGTATTTCAATATTAATGACATGCTGAACATAAAGGGATAGTTCACCCAAAAATGAAAATTCTGTCATAATTTACTCACCCTCAAGTTGTTCCAAACTTTTATGAGTTTCTTTGATCTGTTGAACACAAAAGAAGATATTTTGAAGAAATCTGGCAATCAGACAGTTGACACGGTAGCCATTGAATTCTATAGTAGGAAAAAATACTATGGAAGTCAATGGCTAGAGTCGACTCTCTGGTTACCCATATTCTTCAAAATATCTTCTTTTGTATTTAACAGATCAAAGAAACTCATAAAGGTTTGGAACAACTTGAGGGTGAGTAAATTACAGAATATTCATTTTTGGGGTATGTTTGACATACAGTGAAACTTTTCGTTTTGGTGTCGTTCCATATTATTTGGAAAAGTAATTTTTTTTTTAAAGTATTGAATTTTATAAAGAATTGAATTCTGAACTATTTTTAAATTGCTTTTCTAAAGGTGAAAGATATTTAAGGGACTAACATGAACCATGGAAATATTCAGGAAATCAAAGAATAGTCTGACTCTGTAGCCTGAAGATACCCTCTAATCGTTTTTGCTGCTGCATTTCATGAAAACAAAAGCTGAATTTTTTTGTGTTTTTTTATTTTATTTTTTATGTGGATTGTGCACAAGTTGGTCAAGTACATCATTTTAAAACAAAAGTTTGTAAATAAATACAACCCTGACTATGTACAAAAGTTAATTTATTTAGAGTATTTACATCTTTTCACTCCAGCTACAGTTTAACACAAACAAGTACATGTATATTCCTTTAAGACAATTGACATTAAAATTCATTCATTAAGTAGAACATGACAGAAATATTTACAGGATAACACATTTCTGAACTATACAAAAACAGATATTTATCTGTAATGATTTAGGCTTAGACGTAGAATTAATGATTGACTACAATGCACTGAGGTTTGATGGGGCTTTGACCCGCTCACATCAATATAATGGGGAAAGCTAGAAGGAAGTAGAGTCCATGTGGAGGTCGGTTGAAAAGTTTGGGGTTAGTACGTGTTTTTTGTTTTTGTTTTGTTTTTTAAAGAAAGTACTAATTTTATTCAGTAAGGATACATATATTGATCAAAAGTTAGAGGCATTTATAATGTGACTTCAAATGAATGCTATTCTATTTAAACTGTTCTCAACATTAATAATAATAAATGTTTCTTGAGCACCAAATCAGCATATTAGAATGATTTCTGAAGGATGAAAATAAATAAAGAGATTTGTTTTTAAATTGTAATATTTAACAATTTAACCATTTATAGGGTATATTTGACCAAATCAATGCAGCCTTGTTGAGCATAAGAGACTTCTTTCAAAAACGACCCCAAACTTTTAAAATGTTGGTGTATGTTTCTGAAGAGAGTAGATGCACTGCGGAAAAATGTCGTCCTACTGTATGTAATTTCTAAAGAATGTGTATGAATTCCCACAGGAGCTGGCGTGGAGCCTGAAATACCTTCTCGTCACTGTCAACATTATCATTGGTTGGCGTTTAAATGTTTGCGGCGATAAGGTAATACTGTGGACAGAGTGGTTAGTTCAGCGTGGAATAAGAGGTCTGACTTAAATACATGCTTGCAGAGCCCAGTGTCTGCTAGGGTCCAGACGTGGTGAGGGAACATTTCTCATTACTAAATCATGCTGGACCGCCCTGTCCCTAATTGAGCTGAAGGAGGGACAAGGAGATTTGTCCTGAAATGTTCAAGTGAGTGCGAGGTGTGTTTCAGAGTGGCCTTGTCACCATTGTTCAGTTCCAGGCGCGCCCTGTGCGATGACCCACGGAAGAGCACTCTGGTAAAGGAGCGCGGATGCCCCTGCGCTGAACCCCCGCGGCAGGCGGAGAGAGGAGAAGTTTGCATGGGACGCTCCCCACGGGACGCCTTCTATGGGAGCGGCAAGCGGCGGAACTGAGGTTCACAGTGAGGACATGTCAGACGCTTTCTCTCTCTCTGTCCTGCATTGCCGTCTCTTCTTAAGCACACATTATGCAGTCTCCGTTCCTCAACAGCTTGTCAGGGTCTATGTGCATCATCGAGGTGAATTAAGTGCGAACACACAGGTAGATCTTGTGTGTGTGTGTGTTTGTGAGAGGAAAGGGCTGGTCATGGATTTGAAGTTTGTGCATTATACAAAATCATACATCTAGGACTACTCGTTGGTACTTGTTTTCCATGGAAGTACTCCACTGGAGTGTCCGAATTATGTATTGGAAACAGTAGAGTTGTCAGGAAGCGTCCTGGAAGCGGTCAGTTGCTGTTGTCGGTCTTGGGCCGTTTTTGGTACCACAGAGCTGTAGGCAGATTCTGGCAGCCCATGTACTCCTTCCTCATCTCGGCCTCGGTGAGGGGTGGGGTGGAGTTACACGGAGCACCGGCCAGAGTCACGTTCACCAGACCCAGAGCAGCATCACGCAGTTGGGACGTCACAGAACTCTAGTGATGGATTAAGCGAAGAGAGAACCAATTTAAAGTCTCCAGCCCTTTCAAGTCATAAGATAGCTTTGTGTGGAAAACAGACAGAAATATGAGTTGTTGTTCCACAGAAGAACCGAAATCTAAAAGTTGCCTCGACTACAAGAATAACACATCGACGCCAAACCATTTGTCTTGTGACCATATTTCAGTTAGAAATGACTTTTTGGATTTGGGTCTGTTCCACAGAACATGTTTGATAAGACTTAGCAGAATAAAGTACATGAGTTGTAGGATGTAGGTCATCATAAACGTAGAACTACTTTGTCATTTTGGAGTTTGACAGTCTCTATCCCCTTTCACTGTTCACAAAGAAAAGAGCAGCTGTAGGAATTTCAGTAATGCGTTACAATAAGTTCCAATCAGTTAATGTTAATTCAACAGTGAGCCATTCATTTAATATTAATCTTTATCGTTAGTTAATAAACATAGATATGTTCATTGTTTGATCATGTTTGCCCTTTCATTAACAGTGCAGTAAATTGTAAAACTACGATTATTAATAAATACTATATCAAGAAGCATAACGGACTGTTTTTGTACAGCTAAAATAACTGGATGCGGATGATCCCGGAAGCAAGACGCATTCAAGTTACAAATGGTCGCACCCGCTTTTACATTAAAAATAAGGTGAATACCTTTTTTGTACAATACAGCCCAGATTCATAAGGTATGGCTGTGTAAAGGCTTCTAAAGTCTCACCTTACTGAGGTGGTCTATGAGGCAGTCAGATGGGTGCAGAGAGGACCAGAACTCAGCTGTTTGCACCCAGGGCAGCCCGTTGAGCAGCACGACATTGACGTGTTTGAGAGATCCCATCAGTCTCTTGCTGAGGGCCCCACTGTAGCTCTGCTCCACAAAGAGCAGCACCCGCCTGGCCTTGCATCCGGCTAGATCTGCCAACAGTTCCCCCACGGAGTAACGCTCCTTCAGATCTGCCTGGAGAAAAAAGCAAACATATATAGATAGTTTATAGGGATAGTTTCCCTTATAATGCAATTTATTAAAGCAGCAATCCATGAAAGTCTGTACATTACATTGATTTTATAATGGGTAAGGGTTGTTCTTAAGCACAACTTTTTCAATAAAATAATTATATTTTTATATTTTCCCCCTTATCTTCAGTTTTCTCTTAATTAGTTTTTCAGTTTTATCACTAAAACGACTGTAAGGAACTTCAAGCTGACATTCATTTGTCCTGACATTCATGCTAATGGCAGTTGTTGAAATGAACAGTTTGTCGAACTCTTTCTACTTTAAGAAGAAATGAGCAGCTTTCCTGTGGGAAGCCGAGCGTCTGGTGGCCCTGATCCTGTGTGGTCCTTGTCTCTCAAGCCCCCCCTTTGTCACTACATCCCTGTCTGGGGATCAGGTTGTTGCCTTTGTCCCTAGAGAGGCTGTCCCTATTGTCATGGAAGGGTGGGCTTTACTGTGCAGTCTGCTCCCTTCTGTTTGCCCTACTCTAAACATATGGCCGGGATTACTGACCACCTTTTTGCAAAGGATTGTGGGATTTTGGTGAAGCAACATGAGAGTACTTTAAAAAAGCAATATAATTAAACGTGCGCACAGTTTCTGGAATGATTGTATTAATGATAGATGAAAGAGGCATGATGTGGATGGCTGATCTATTGTGAGTTGATAAAAGGACCTGTCTGTGTTTAGTAATAAGATTGGGGATTTAAGATTGTGCCATATTTCTCTATGAAATTCGATCTAATCTCTCTCATCTTTCTTGTTAAGTGAGGAGTCTGCTCTGGGATGTCATGTGCATTAAGGGAATAAGGTTTGATAAAGCATCCCCTTCTTGGATGTTTGCTGCACAGGTGGCGTTCTCATTAGCAGCACTAAAAATACTCGTAACACAAGAACCACCAAAGTTCAGAGTGTCTGCATATTCATCCCTTCCGAGAAATGAGACCAAATGAACGGATGAGAGTCAACCAGAAGTCATCTTCCATAGCGTAATACTTTTATCCTTTGGTTAGTGGGCACTTTGAAGTGGTGGGCTTGGGGAAACACGTTGGATTAATTTACGGGAAGATAAGAGATTCCTAAACTCTTCTTATTCATCTGTCCTCTATGTGCTTCCAGGAACCCCACATTTAAAACAAATCTACCTCAGCACCTTCAGAATAACATAGTAGCCCTGACTGTGAAAATACAATCCTGTTTTAAGAAATCCACTGAGCTAAGAATTTCTTTTTGTTTGTTTTAAACAGGGTTTAAACCACTTCAGAGCTCAACGGTGAGGTTCTGAAAGTAAAAAAAAAAAAAAATAGAATTAGAAATAAAATAGAAATCTCCTCCATTAGAAATAGAAATAAATGTTAAAAAAATAATAATTATTGGAACGATAACGAATAGACCATTAAAAACAGACATACTGTGATGTCCGAGATTAAGTGACAATGTATGCTTCTGTAGAAAGCC